AAACTGATGATCAAACAATTTTTTTGTAAACTCGTTGTCGAATATAAACGTTTTGAAGAATGTTAGAGACAATTCATTCCTACAATTCATATCCATCCTTGAATACTATTGAAATGTGAAATGAGTATTTCAAGTTAAGATAAGATTTTTGGATAGCCAAGAATACTTGTCTTCATTTCAGATAACTTATTTCACTTCACCTTACTTGCTTTTGTTTAATCAGCATCAAATAAAAGTTATTCATTGATTCATTTGATTATCAATAATTTGTTTATTTATCACCTCTTTCTGAATAAAAATTATCCACTATTTACAAAAATCAACCTCAAAACGCTTTTAGTAGGAATTATTTTCTATTTCTGGGGAAAAAATAAATAAATGAATTCTCTACGGAGATCATTTTTGAACATCATCTATTTCTTTTTTCAAGGTGAATTTCTTCTGCTTGATGGTACATTTCGGGAACAGAAATGCCTAATGAGAGGTATACCATCTTTAGAAAATTCTTTCTTATTACTACCTGTCTCTATCTCTCTCTTTCTCTTAGCCAGATGAAATATAACTGGTATTTAATGATCTATGTAATGCTTTTCAAATGTATAACCCAAAACTGGCTTTTTTAGCATCCCGTTAAGAAACTACCAATGAACGATTAGTTTATTGTCTGTTATGTAATTGTTGATACGAACCGGAGAAAAGGGCATTTAGTATGCAATAAAATGCTGAAAAAAGGCAGTTGACAGCCACTGTTTCTTGCCAATTTTTTGGCTGTTATAATGGCAAAAACAGGCATTTGACTATGCATCCTAAAATATAAAATAACTGTTACAGTTAAATGGCTGTTAACAGGTCATTCGTCAGTTGCAAATTGTACAGCAAAAAAACTGACATTTAAAATGGCTGTTTCATTTATCCTTTTATATTTTGCAGTCATGAGTGGTATATATATATAGACCACTGAAATTTCGAAGAAATGTGTAGGTTTTCGTGTCTTTCTCAATTTCACAAGTCATCGAAGCTTGGTATGCTGGTACGAAAGCAGTAGCTGGTTCTGATGTTAGTGATGAGCCAAAGAACCAAAAGTCTTAAACATTTTTGAAATCGCTATATTTGAGGTACTAATAAAAAAACATTAATCAAAGAAAACACTCAAACAATTGACTGTTAATAACCACTAATAATGCAAAAGCGGTCATTGCATGGTGCTATTAACTGCCTATTTCCAGTTGGTTAAAAAAATGCCACTTTAAGAAATTAAAACGTTCCTATTTATAATGTGCAAAAATGGTCAAAACACAGATAGTACCAATTGTCTAAAAAATGCCATTTAATGCCTGTTTTATTAGCTACTAACTAGCATTCGATAGACAATTAACCACATTGTTTTCGACCTCCTGAGTATCCATTCACTTGCACATTTTCTTTTAGAGACAAAAAGACATTTAAAAAATTAAATTTCTTTCAGTTTTCATCATGAGAATGCAAAATTCGAGTTTCTAGTTTAGGTAATTTTTGCATATGTTTCTGGAACTTCTTTACAAAAAGTCAATGAAAATTCATTTTCCCATCATCTCAAATATAGTAAAAAAAAAGGATGATAGAAAAGTATATACTCGATAGCTTAATGGGAAGAGCAAAAAGAAAGAAATTCTTGGGCCTTGTGTTCACTCGATTCCTGCTCGAGTCATTATACTTTTTTGCTTCTTTTTGTTTCCTTCTCTTAAAAACTTTCCAAAAACTGTTTGGCTTTCCGACTGACGCTACTCCGAGCAAGTTTTGGTGGAAACATATTCAATCGACTATCCTCTATCCAAAAATGTCGTTTTTATCGACTCTAGTCCTATTTAAAATTTTGACATATCGGTGATATGTCTCTCTTTCACCTGTAAACAAAATGCATACCTGTAACATCCGCCCTTGATACGCCCTTGGAGGCTTTGTTTTGTACTTCTGATGCCCAAAGAATATAATACGATGCTCTTTGCACTGAAGATGATGCTTAAATCGTTTATTAAAATTATTTGCTGTATTACCCATAGCAGTATGAAAAGCATAACGATTATTTTAAACATTATTAACAGAAGCGAGACTACAAACGATGATGTCTTATATGGGCACATCCCAAGTAGAAATTGGAAAGACATGATCACTTTTATATCGACTTCGTCGTATATTAATCAAAAGTGAGAGTACGGTTGATTTTCGATAGTGAAAATTTTCTAGATTGCTCATCAACAGCTCGTCTGTCAAAAGATTTCGCATACTTACGACATTAATTATTCATTGCTTCTAGATGTATGCTTTCTCATGTTGCGACAGCTTGTTAGCTTTATTATTCATTGCGTATTATTTTTGGAAAACAAAATCGTATGCTACACAGATAGCTCCTATTTTAGTAACGGATAGTCAAAAGTGGCCTGAGCTGTTTCAATATATTTTCCAGACAGAAATGATTTGCAAGCGCATTTATGCGCTAAACACATCACTGCAAGATTTCTCGGTAACGAAACATCTTGAAGAGCTATAGAAGGTCTTAAAATGTTGGAAACACATGTGCCTAGAAACTAATAGAGCTCGATTTTCTATTTTCGGTCTAGACTTGTGGTCAGACAACATCTTTATGCAAGTTAATGAGACCTTTTTGGATTTTTGCCTTTTGGCTCTTACCATTATTTGCGAAACTAAAATATCAAAAATCTGGCTCTATTATCCTCTAGTCACGTGTGTTTTCGTCATTTTATGACCTTCTCGAGCTCTTCGAGGTATTTAGTTACCGAGAAATCTTGCGGCAACGAACAGCCCCATTTTGACCCCTAATTGAGCGACATCTCTGAAACGGTGATAGATGACTGCGCAAACATTTTACAGAAAGAGTACAATCATAAGGCCAGCATTGCCTGAAAGTTTGGTTGAGATCTAACTCATGGTTATCAAGATGCGTTTTTGACTTGGGGAGGGGGGACTTAAGTGGTTATTTTCTAAAGATTGATCGTTTCTCTGATGCATTGCTTTATGACAGAAATTTAGTAGAAAAAATTGAAGAGAAAAAAACACTTACACAACAAAGAGGCGAACTACATGTAAGTATTATGCTTCATCCAATTTTTTTGACATAATTCTTTTACTTTGGGTCATCTTCAGGCTGTTCAACGCTGCTTACAAACAATAATTAATCATAAAAGTTCATCCACTGTGATTTACACAACAGAATAGGTGATAAATGGTAATTAAAACGTATTCTGTAACCACGGCTGAATATATTTCATATTCTTATTTTAACTTTAAGCAAACACTACGATTATTTTTCGTTTTTTCCTATAATATATACTTTGTCTTCGTAAAATTTATTATTTACAATCAAAAGTTAGACGTTTCGATTACAACGTGCAATCTTCTTCAGTATAACATAAAACAAATTAAAATAAAATTCGTATAAAATTAATACAACAAAATGTGTATATACAAAAGCAATTCTCGTTTAGAATGTAGTCATCAACCCTTTCGTTCATATAACAAACGTCATCTTAGACGTGATATATTTACGTCGCATATATTTTATTTTATTTTAATCTAGGTCCACTAAAATAAAATAAAACACATAGTCGAATTTTCTTCAACTCTTTCGTCGTTCTAGTTTAGTCAAGTGAGAGTGAAATAGAAAAAGAAAACGTTAAAGTAGAAGTATAATACATATTTCAAGAATAAGAATGGTCACATTACAGTTTTAACATCTACTGTACACACTACATTTTAAGCGAGAATTGCTTTTGTAGATACACATTTTGTTGTATTAATTTTATACGAATTTTATTTTAATTTGTTTTATGTTATACTGAAGAAGATTGCACGTTGTAATCGAAACGTCTAACTGTTGATTGTAAATAATAAATTTTACGAAGACAAAGTATATATTATAGGAAAAAACGAAAAATATAAGTTATCCGACTTCGTATATCAACAGAGGCCCTATTCTAATTAAAATGACTACGATTATTGTGCTAACGAAGATATTATTGAATTAACTGTTTGTTTCTAACAGTGTGTTAAAGTAACATTTGTAAGTCTCGTAATCTAAGTTATAACTTATTCTTTTATAGATATCTTTAATTTATTTTTTCCGTACTCGTAGTTCAGAGAAAAATCAGTCGTAATGAAAGTGAACAAGCCGCAGAAGCGCAAGATATGGCGTATGAACATTTGGTACACAGAGGACGCTGGTAATTTGAACAAAAAAAGAAAACCTTCAGAGGCAGAACCGTTGTCTTCCAAACAACAGAATGTCTTTTTCTAAGTTTAACTTTTTGTGATTTGCCATCTTTTTCTTTATTGGTGAAAAACTCATTATGTAGCATTTTTCTTATTGTGTTGTTAATTATTTTGCTTATTTTTATATTTGTCAGTGAAATGGAAATACTTTCATAAGTTTACTATTTTTCTATATTTTGTTGTATTTAAATAAAACGATTAATTAAAGAATTTGTGAATGTTGAGATAATTTATATGTATTAGTCTATCGATGATTACAACTAAGTTTATTGCTTGCCACTGTAGTGAGTCTGTTAATGGATTGAATATACCCATAAGAACTCTGACCTTTTTAGTTATAAATCAGTGTAAAACGTTGACTCATAAAAGGAGCAAAGAATGGTAGTCGAAAACTACGGACTGTTGTCACTGATTCACCGACTACTCCGCGAACGGGAAACGGGAAAGATCAGCGAAAGTATTAATATTTCAGAATTTGGAAGCAAAAGTCAAAATTGTGATTCTTGCAAAATGCCCAGAACAATATATTGTATATATTGTATATAATGTATACAATGTATGTTTGTAAACTGACATGGAGTTATGTATAGTCATGCCTGCAAATATGAATCTATATAAACCAAAAGCAAGTTTGGATGTAGATGGTTTCTCATATATAAAAGATCGCTGTACGAATGAAAAAACATATTTTATTAACCATTTTTCTCAAAATTGTCACTCGTCTTCATACATGATTACAATGATATATTACTAGCGATAGAATCAAGTTGTTTTAAAACATATGCATGCGGATTAGAGATAATATTTAACAAACGTTTTTCAAAACGTTCGTTTCTTTTACTTTTCAATTTGGGTGCTTGATCAGCATTAATGTGTAAAATGTCCATATGTGTCGCATTTTCTTCTTCAATTAGCTTCTCTAGGAAGCACCAAAGTGTTGGATGCGAATACTGAAAAACCGAGCCGATTCGACGATGATAAGCTTCCGCAACGTTGTTTGTTCTCATGACCGCCTCCGTTGTCCGATGGTACATATTCCAAAAATCAATACCAAACTTGGGCTGCCGTCTTGTTTGATTCGGTCGAAGTCGTCCTAAAAAAAGTACATACTTTCGTAAACCGTGAAACTATAATCATAAACACCCACGACTACATACCAATATATGTTTCTTCAAAATAATCAATAATATCTTCATAATCATCGCCAAGACTTGAGGATAACGTTCAAATGCATTTATAACAACATCTGGGTGGATGAAGGCTAATGCGGCAATTTTGTGAATATTATGCGCAAATATGGAGTCGTTTTAATATTGAGTTTGATAACGAAGTGACTAAATGTTATTATCAATAGATAAGATTAAGAATATAACGTGTCATTTCTGTAGATAGTTGAATGCGGTGTAAAATAGGGGGTAAAAATTCTTTAAAAATGTACTTTTAGAAAATTGTTTCATTGTTTGGACCTAACGGTAGTGGAATTTTCACGGACGTACGTGCACTACTGGTCTTTTCCTATTATGTTTCTGCTTCTAAGGATGTTGATAAGCCCAGTGATAGTGCAACTAATTGTGCATTTCGTATTGGTGATGCGTTCCAAACATTCGAGGAATTTACGTCGAAATTAATTTCATGAATTCACAGTCATCATTATCATTGTCGGAGTGATGAGTCGGCGAGTCAGTCACGACTGACAGCCGACAGTCACCACCGCCCATCATCATCTTTTTCAAAACGAGAGAGAGAGCTGAGCTCAACGGCCGCTCCATCTCGGCATTCACCGCCATCCGAACGTATACGTCCGGCGAGCTCGACAGCAGCCATGCCTGTCAGGTACGAACGTCAGCAACGAAAAATGTTGCTAAATCGAAAACGGTGCGAACGCCAAAAGCGAATAGTAACGGCGGCAAAAATGATGTACATGTTATGCTATGCCATGTCTAACATTAATGGCAATTTATCTTTGGGTATGGTTATATGTACTACGTGAAACAGCAACATCAATCTTCATATCGTGAAGTACAAGTGAAATTCGGAATTCAATAGATCATCACAGTGGCGGGTAAAACGAGTAAAACTCATATTCTCTCCTGATATATACGCAACAGAAACATAGATTTTTATTTGACTTCATGAGAAAAGGTGAACAGAACAGCAGTTATGTATGTATGTTGCGGACAAAATTAGAAAGTGGGGTGGGTTTTGAACTCAGCCCTCGATGGGCTGTTTTACCGTCCCGAGTTCAAATCCACCCCCCTTAAATCTGTACACAACAAATCTTGAGATGATAAATGGGTTGCGCAAAGTCTAAAAATCCTATGGTTCCGCTCCTCGTTGTAATGGCAAAGCGGTTCATCGGTTCAAGCTTACGGGAATCCATCGACATTAGAAACCAAATAAATCATATCCCCTCTATATGCTGGGGTCTATTCTTCCTGGAATTTGAGTAGGAAAAGCAAATTATAAGGATAAGTGCCTGAGTTAGTTTAGTGTTTTTACTTTCGTAAGGCGCGTTATATTAAAGAGAGAAGAGGGCTGAAGGCTAGATCTGAAAACTTCCCTTTTTTTAACCTGGGATAACAATTCAATCTAACATTAGAGGTGGTAAAGGATACCTCCTATGAGTGCAAAGAATTCAACTCTATTTCCCAGAAATCCTACCTTCAAGAATGGGAGAAAGCCAATTTTCCCATCTCTATATATACAATACTTGTTGGGTCCGCCTGAGGCCTTTAGCTATGGATTCCCTACTCTTTCCTAATGGTATTTGATTTTATCGGGGATTTTATCTTCTTCCAAGGATTTTGCTATGCCTAAACACGTACGCTCATTTAAATTCTTAATTATGTTCATAGGTGGTGATATGCCAGAAATCCTTAAAGGACAATAGCTGGATTCTTCTAAGGTGTAGGATATGTAAATATCTGACTACCCTATAAATATAAGAATGTGGACTCTTAGAGTTTAAACTTAGGGATTTAAGAGGATAGGAGAATAAGAAGGGATATCGAAGGAAGATTAGAAGTGACTTTTCTTGATCTAAAGGAAACACATAACCTCTTCTCTACTATATTTTACTAAGCTAACTTTAAGGATGCCCCCACCTAAAAACCAGAGTTATTTATCTTAACCTAAAGTAAGACCACCTCTCTATCTTCTACCCCCACCTTGCAAGTCCTCCCCCCCTCAAGAGAGGAGGGTGACTACGCTATTAACCTATGTGAAATTCTATTAATGAAGGACTCGCTGGTTATATTAATCATATAAGGGGGATGAGAATAGGGAGGAGAGAGAAAATGATAAATAGAAAAAAAAAGAGAAAATATTAATCTTAATTATTAATATTAAATATTAATTTTACGTGTTTAGCGAGTTTTGAATAATAACGCGCAAGAACCTGCGAGTGTGTAAAAATAAACCGCAGGAACACGCGTATAAAGCCTTTGTTTCCACGGCAATATGCGTTTCCTGCGGTTTATTTTTACACACTCGCAGGTTCTTGCGCGTTATTATTCAAAACTCGCTAAACACGTAAAATTTTTCGTAAATAGAGTTTCCTGCGCTTTTCTGAAATGACTATGACTGACTGGGGATTGTCTTTCTACTTCAGTAAGTTGGTTTGAAAAAATGTTTTTTCATACTACCGAAACTCATTCTGATTGTTTTTCGGATTGACATTTTCTGTTTTGGTTGTATGTGTACAGTGAAAATGCTGAAAGAATCATTCCCGGTTTTAAGTGTTTCGGTGAATGTTGCTTACGTTCGTTTCTCAATTATCTCGGTTTAGTGGCATTATTAATTCTATTCAGATTCGGCGTATATACGGAAAAACGACGGCAGTCTCGAGAAAAATATAATTCAAAAAGCGATGGATGTGGTTGCGTGGTCACGTAGTGTTGTCCATGTTGTGCCATGTTTTATTATGCGGAGATGACTTATTTATGTTATCCAAACGAACTGATTTCTGACGCCATCTCTCTCCGGAGTACAGAAAAAGTTTGCTTAGTTTATTGTCCCTCTTCGTTAGTAGGTATTTCAAGTAATCTATTTGGATATTTTCCTTCTCGTGGTTAAAAGTCAGTTTGCTATTTCTCTTCCTTATGATTAGCTTGTCCATGAAATATCTAACAGGCATTTTTCACTATTTTGTGCACAGAAAGATGAAGAAGGAAAAGGAAAAGCGAGAAATATACAAGTAGCGTTCATCTACGATTCGTCTCCTCCTCTAACTTTAGTTTTGTTTAGAACGACATATCACTGAGGTTAGGTCCATCCGAAATATCGCACGTTTAGAAAACTTTTCACTTTGTCTTCATCGTTCATGAAGTATAACACCGTTTAGTCAAATAAATAAATCATTGGATTTACATAGGTCTATTCTAGAAACGACACATTCCTAGTGACTCACTGGTCACGCTCTAGGGATTTCTCAGCAAGAATATACAACATATTGACTGTTTTGATTTGCGTCTGCAGAAGTGTATAGGTGAAAATTTAGACACGAACACCTTGTTTTAGATTAATTTTTTGTTTTTTAGATAAGTGTAGCGGCTGCCGCTGGAGACTCGTCGGCGTTAAGTCGTCGATTCAGTTAACTTTTCAGCCGAGTGACTCATCCACTGGACGAGGTTCACTAGGTAGCTCAGGTGAGAAAGAATTTTGGAAAGTAAGTGGTAGTTTTTCTTATATAAAATAAATTTCAATTTGATAAAAAATCGATGAAAAAAAGCTAAATTACGCTTAAGATTAAGCGTAGAAGTCAATTAATTCGGTTTTGGAAACTCCCTGAGAAATCCTTAGAACTCTCTAAACCCCCAGGGGAAGCCGGTAGGTGATTCTCTCGGGATTTTTTCAGGGAAAGTAGACTAGGCGGCTTGTCCTAAGGTAACGCTGTGACACTTTTGACACAGCAGTTTGCATTTTTCTCGAAAACTGCAGGAGCTAGAAAGTTTGTTCTGTACTATATGACGCAGCTCACCAAAGTCTACGTACAACATAAAAATTAAGATTTTCTGTTCAAGACTTGAGCTTTCAGAAAGATTTTTTGGCAAGTAACTCTGTGACAGAAAAGGTCCCTGTATAGAACTCCTGATACAGCTCTGATTTCCTGCGAATTGAGCTGTGCATCTGAAAAGTTTCTAGAGGCAAGTTTGTAGAGAAGACCCGACGGAATTTCTTTTGGTAAAAAGAACGTTCTTGCAAACCCTTCCATACGCCTAGAAAAGTCAATTTTGTAAAGTAATGCTGTGACACACTTTTGTCGCGCCATTTTTAGGCACTAAACGTTGTTCAAAAACTTTATACTTATAGCCAGCATAGTTCTAGTTTCCTGAAAAGACTCTAGTTGAAAATAAAGTTCAGAAAATCCTCTGAGGCTTTCAGACCAAGGCGGAAGTTGAAACGTTCGAGCAGCCACTGTGTCTCGACTGAAAAATACATCACAAAACAAAATGAGCCATGTTTTAGAGAATTGAATTTTCTACTCAATGGTATGTTTTTAAAACCTTTGAACCAAATGTCTATGTCAGAAAATTGAAATTAAAATTTTTATATTGAAAATTAATTTTTTCTTCAAAAAAAAGTCAGATTCGTGATCAGCATGAAAGCTGCGTCTAGTGATGTGCCCGCAGCGATTTTCCGATGAAAAAAATTCCAAAAAACCTTGATCAACGAAGTGTCGCGTTACGTGGACAAGCCGTATCGTTGTTTTGTATGGTATTTTGATATTTACAAGATTGAAGATACATCATTTACGAGAAATAAATTTAAATTGCACTGCGGCGCTCATAGCTGGAATATGGATTACATTGTTCCTTTAGTTCCACATAAACTTCGTCACTTGGTAGCTTTTTCAATTCAGATGGCGGGTTTCGAGCGACATCTACCTTGTATCTTTGACAAAAGTGTTTGTTACTAGCACTCTTTTTCTGTGCTCGATGTTTTATTTTATTTTCTTTCTTTGAATAACATTTCTTTCTCTTCTGCATTAATATGTTGCTTATGTGATTGTTCGGCCCATGAACTATTATTCCATATTTTGCCATATTCAATGTTTTACGGATAAACAGAACGCAAAAGTATACTGTTATCTTCGAAAAAATGGATACTTAAGTCAACCAGTATAAATAAGTAGATTAGAGAGTTGAACTCACACCATTGTTAGTAAGTAGAAAAAGTAAGTAGAGCAAACTATGAGCTTTCGATTGGCATATAAATAAACTGTTTATCTGTTCGATAAATATCAAAATAGGTATGAAAAAAGTAACCGTACGAACACCTATTGAGTGAAAAAAAACTGATCCACGGTAAGAAACTTGTATCGTTTGATAGAAGGAGGTGAGATAAAAATCTGCTAGTAACAATGAATAAACCTGAAACCTGGGGCTATCAAGTATGAAAAACTTTTTCCTTTCTTTCTTCACAAGGTAATTTTTAAAATATTCTTTTACAGAGAAAAATTGAAAAAATTCGAAAGGTGCCAAAGAACGAGAATCGAACCCATTTCAAATTTTCTCGAAGGTATCCGGAATGAAAGAGTATGTGCTCTAAGCCCCCAGTTTCCCTTCGAAGTTAATATCTGTAAAAAAATCGATCACCTTTGAACAATATCTCCGCAAACCCATTGTTATGTGTTTTTGTTACTTTTCTTGGAATAAAATAAGTTTGAAGGAAAGTTTTATATACCATTCGATACATTTTTACACGGCGAACAAAACTGTCTATTGCTCAATTGTCATGTACACTGCGAACACCGACTTTTTTGAATATTCTTTTGTTCACAAAATGAGATGCTGATCGAGTTTCTACGATGTTCTGTCAAAAAGTGCCATAGAAAGTACGATACAGATCGAAAATTCGGGATTAAAGTAAAAGTTTTCGATGAACATTACGCATTTTAGTTTATCAAAAATTTTCACCTTAATCTCGAATTTTCGATCTGTATCGTATTTTCTATGGCACTTTTCGACAGAATATTGTACCCATGAGGGTAATTTTCGTTGAAAACTTGCGATATATCGAGATATTATGCCAAATGTGCTGAAATATCGCGATATGAGCAGCTCTGTCGCGATATAAACGTTATTGCAGTTTATCGCAGTCTCTCTATATAACGCAATAGACGAAACTATCGCGGTATACAAGTCATTTAGCGTTGTGAATACCTGTAAGTCAATAAATGCGATAAATATTTATCGGACTTTATCTTGATAAAGTATAATCGTTATCTGTGTGATCTTTATCTTTGAAAACAAAACTATCGCGATAAACTCCAATAGATTTTTATCGACTATTATCGTGATAAAAGAGTCATCTCGACAAAAAGCTAAAAGTATCGCGCTTAAATTTTTATCCCGATGAATCTTTTTCCCGTGTTTTATAAAAGAAATCTTTTATATCGAACAATCAAAAGACTCTCTTTTGTCATATAAAAATATCACAATTGAGTTTCTAGTTATAGTATTTGTGTTTTTTTCAAGGGGCATGTGTATATTATGTTTTGGTATGTTTTCTCTTTGTCAGAGATTCTTTTTCCCTCTTTTTAAACAAGAAAATTTCTGCTCCAGTTTGAATTGGCAGTGTACTCCATTTCTTTTCGAATTTGTTTTCTCGCTATTTATTGATTGAACATTACCCTATAAAAAAAATTCCAGTGCGGCACTGGTAAAAATCAGTGCGCACCGGCACGCATGGCTTGCTATCGGTCACTGACACTGGCTGGCACCGCTGCGGACCCTTGCCCAGCACGTGCCGATATATTTCTGCTGAAAGAGTGCCGCACTGGTAAAAATCAGTGCCGCATGTGTGCTCCACTGGCAAAAATCGGTGCCGCACTGATAATTTATTTAATCAATTTAATTAGTTCTTTATTTTGGTTGTTTATGCTGAATTTTGTATTAGAGCGTGGCACTGATCAGTACCACATCGACATGCCAAAACCATGCGGCATTGTCATGACACTTCTCTTATGAGAAGGAAAAGGTGAAGTCAGAAAGACATTCGAAATAGAAAGTAGATTGTAAGAAAAAAAAGAAAGAAGTAGACTGTAGCGTCAATATAGAAAGAAATTGACAAAACAAAATGGTGATTGAAAACAAAACTTCGGCACTGGTGCGAGATTTTTACATTCTTTCTGGCACCGATGCGCATCGGAAGAAAACTTTTTGGAAATACGAACTGCCCCATTTAGACTACCGTTGTGGTTACCAGAGATCGAAACGAGCCAACTTTTTTTGTTTTACGCTTGCGCTCGGTCTGACTCAACTTAGTTTTCGAAAATCTTGGCTTAACTCGGTTCGACAGAAACAATATGTTGCTCGACTCGACTCAAGTGCAGGTTCAGTTTTTTTAGAAAAAAGGATTTTTTTTTCACAAAATGCACTTTTTCAGCAATAAAAAGTCAATTCAGCAATAGCTTTGAATTTATCATTGTCTGTTTTCTTTTGTCTTGAAAATGCAGACGTTTACGAACTTGTGGCGGACACATCTTTGCTTGTATTATTTACGATTTTATATTCGTCTTTTCCATTTATTAACAATGGTCTAATTTCAGAAGAATGGAAACTTTGTGGGGAAGAAGATGATGATGGTGTAGACTAATTGTCGGACGCCTTCTTTTCTACGGAAACAACTCGTTCCAGTCTTCCTTAAGTAATGGAAAAGCGCTTCTAATGTGAGAGGCAGAATGGATGGGAGACCACAAATGTTGGTCGAGATCGCTAACAGCTAGATTTGTCGCTCTCCACATTTTGTACAATTTGTTGAATTAAGTTTTCCTTTCCGGACTCGGCTTGATTATGTTGTTTTAAAAGAAATGAATCGACGAATATTCGGCTCGTTTCGGTGTCTGGTAGCTACATGTCGCAAACAAATAAAAATTGACTCATAAAATCTCCTCACTATATTTTGACATGGCCACCGTTCCCGAAACTTTTTGTCAAGATGTGACTTATGATCGCTAAGATAAGTTTCTAATAAGGGGACCAATCGAAATTCTAACAAACATAAGACGCAGCTAATACAAAATTGTCTCGATCACAATCCAACTTTTGAGCAGTAAAAATCTCATATTTGGGATCAGGATCAAAAAACGAATTGATTCATGTGTATTTCGAAATTTTTTAGTTGATTATCATTTTTGGGTGAAAATCTCGATAATTTTTCAACGTGAAAATTCGAAAAACATTAAAGTGCTCGCATAGGATAGAGATCAGTCGATTCATTTTTAGATCCTGAACCCAAATATAAGATTTTTATTATAAAGCATTTATCCCCATGGCTCTTGAAGACCCGGTCTTCTGGAAAACCAGTTTTTCAGAAATTCTAAAAATATAACCAGAACGTTTCTTAATAAGGCATGATTGTAGGCCGCAAATATCTGATTAAATTGAGACGTCTACCAGCTCTACACAAGCTTTCTCTGCAAAGTTATAGAATTAACAAGAAAAGTCCTAAAAGCTACAGAAATAAGACGAAATTAATTTAGGGCTTTTGTTGTAAATTCTATAACTTTGCAAAGAAGGCTCGTGTAGAGCTGGTAGACGTCTCATTTTAATCAGAAATTTACGGGCTACAATCATGCCTAGACCTGTAACAGTTCCAGCTCATAAGTTCAGCTCATTTGAGCGAAAGAACTGTTGAACAGTTCTTTTGAAAGGAGCTGATATGTTTGAACAGCTCTTTTGAAAGGAGCTGATATGTTGGAACAGCTCTTTTGAAATTTTGTGAAATTTTGTGAAATTTTTTCAACGACTACTGCTAAAGCTTTCACGCTGAAGCAAGAGCTTGCTCTTCTGTTCATTTTTTGGAAAGTGATTCCCAAAAAAGAACACTTTGCTCTTGGACTCCTGGACTTCAGGAGCGCCCAGTGCTTCGAGTTGAGCAAGCTCTTGCTTCAGCATGAAAGCTTTAACAGTAGTCGTTGAAAAAATTTCAAAAAATTTCAATTTTTAAAATTTCAGAAGAGCTGTTCAAACATATCAGCTCCTTTCAAAGAGCTGTTCCAACATATCAACTCCTTTCAAAAGAACTTTTCAACAGTTCCTATGATAGGAGCTGATATGGAACTGTCATACCCCTAATCATGCCTTATTAAGAAACGTTTTGGTATATTTTTAGAGTTTCTGGAAAATTGCTTTTCCAGAAAACCGGATCTTCGAGAGTCATGGGGATAAATCCTTTTAGGCTTGTTACTATCTCGATATAGGCTATCGATCGGTGTCTGTTTGAAAGAAATCGGAGTTGGACAGCTGGAAATGTTCCCTCGTGAGATGCAAATAACGCCTTCAACCCATAACAGAAAAAATTAGACAGATTTACAAAATGACTCCCCTTATTTCTCATTGCTCCTGTTGGACGTCCATGGTGGACAGGCGTTTATGTCCGAAATGGATCTAATACTAGTTTTTAATTCAGTTTGTAATACTGAATAAGAAAAAAATAATTTGAATGTTCCGACGAAAAACTTAAGTCGATAAATCTAACTTTGGTTAGATGACATCATCGTTTTTTCGATTTTTTGATATGGGAAAAAACATTTGAAAAAATCGAAAACTACATACGTAACTACAATACGTAATCAGTTCGAAAAACTCTATCAAATGGTGTATAATAAGTTAAGATAAACAAAAATTTTACTTCATTTTTGTATTAATTGTGTCTTAACTCGGTATATAATTCTCTGAAAATATGAATAAAATTTTCGTTTTCTTTCAGATTATACAAAAGAAATGATTTTATCAGTTTTATTATCATCAATTGTAATATTGATAATTGCAATCTATTTCTATATAAAATGGAAATATTATACAGTACATGGTACAATTCCTGGTCTAGAACCAGAATTTTTATCTGGTAATCTTCGTCAACTTGGCGTTGTTTCATCAAATAGAGAATTAATTGATTCATATGGTTATGCTTGTGAAAAAATGCAAAAAGTCTATGGAGATATATTTCAACTTTGGATTGGTATTAATCATTATTATGTATTTTGTCGTCCTGATCATGCTCAAGAGATTTATACTCATCGTAATATATTTGACCTTGCTAAAATTCGTACAAAAACATTTGGTTTAATAAGTGAACATGCACTAGTTACACTTATTGGTCCAGAATATAAACGACATGCAAAAGCTGTTTTACCAATGTTAAAAAAAAATAAATTTATACCACAAATTCCTATTATGACAAATTGTGTTGATAAATTAATTACAATTTGGAAGGAACGATATGAAAATAAAGATAATATAATTTGTACATGTATAGTAAGTGATAGTCAACAATTAATGTTAGATATGTTTACATTAATTGCATTTGATTATGATTTTGGTAATTTAAATAATTTATTAAAATCTGCTAAATCATCTGATTCTAATGATAAATTTGAATTATCTGATTTGGGTAAGGCACTTGCCATTTGGTTAAATGGATTTCAACGTGTTACAGTAAATGGAATGCCAGCTTTTATCAATTATTATTTATTAAAATTTGATAAAATATATCAAAATGCTTTAAAACTACTTGAAAATTATTCATACAAAATTATTTCAAAATGTCAACAAGAAACAGATTTAAATAGGAAAGCAATTAATCTTGTTGCATCTTTAGTATCAACATTACAAGAAGATGAAGCTGCTGAAATGTTAAAACATGAAGAAGATAAAACAGGATTAACTAAACATGAATTATTAGGTGAAGTATTATTCTTACTTTTAGCTGGTTATGAGACAACTGCAAGTGCTATATCATGGTTTATTCATTTTGTAAGTAAATATCCTGAAATTCAACAAAAAATGAAAGAAGAATTAAAACATAATGGTATTACAAAAGAAACATCTTTGGATGATGATGATCTATTGCATAAATGTGAATATATAGATTGTGTAATTAATGAAACATTAAGAATAGCACCACTAGCTGTTGGCTCATTTCGAACACTTACCAAAGATGCTATTATTGATGGAGTAAAAGTTCGTCAAGGAGAGACAGTTTTAGCTGCATTTTCAGTTATGCAACGTGATCCTAGAAATTGGAAATTAGATCCAACACAATTCATTCCTGAACGATTTTATGGTATTGATGCACCCGATCGTAATCATCATTCATTTGCATTTTTACCATTTGGTGGTGGACATCGAGTTTGTGCTGGACAAGAAGCGGCTCGTTTAGAATTAAAAGTTATTATTATTCGTTTAATGCAATTTGTAACATTTACTGATGCACCTGGTAATAATGGTGGACGTTATCAACGGGTCACAGTTATGCCAAAAGAAGTGGCAGTTTCAATTAAATTTGATTAAAATCTTCATTTAATAGACCACACATTTTCTGTAAAAAATTTAGATTTGAAAGCTCTTTTCTTCTATGTTTTCACTGGAATTTGCTATGATCAATATATACATAAATCATTAAATTAAATGTTCTACAAGATAGACATTATGTTTCTGTTTTTCGAAAGCTTCTGTTACAATATAAGATGCCGGCAATTCAAAAGATAAGCGAAATTTTTCGATTTATTTTTTCATCATTAGATCGAGCTCATCGAGTTACGAAAAGTTCGAAAAAAATGAAAGTTGCCCGAAAATTCTGAGACACAAATCAATCAAGTCAGTTTTTGATGCTGTTTCCAAATATGACATTGGTTTTACAAAAGAAATGAAAACTTGACAGTGAAAGGTGCAAAATATGAGTGAATTTTTTTGTTTTTTGCTACCTGTTTCAAGAAAATTAATTTTCTCAACAGCAGAACAATATTTTCCAAAACCGATATTAACTTTTTTCCCACAATGTGATGACTTAAATAAGGAAAAAAAAACTTGCCTAACTGTTGCTAACCAAAAAAACTAGATAGGCTTGCTTACAAGAAGTTTGGATGGGGTGCCAGCCGTTCTATCCAGTCTTCAGCGATTTCAGTCGGCCAATCAGATTTTAAAAGTATTTGAATTACTTTTTATATTCAATTTTTGTATGCAAAATCAGAAAAAAATAGTACCAAAATTTTAAAAAGACAATAAACTCTGAAATTTTGCCCATTTTAAAAAAAATCAGTATTTTAAAATTTTTTAAATGAAAAACGACTTTCAAAAATCCACGTTTCAGTTTTTTTTAGGTAACTCGATGAGCTCGATCTAATGATGAAAAAAAAAATCAAAAAAAAACTTTACTTATGTTTTGAATTGCACCGGCACCGTATATATTTTCAAGGCTTGAAACATTTTCCTTTTAATTCTGAGATGACTTCATTCTTGTGTATGTGTGCAGAATTTCATCAATGGGTATTTGGTCCACTTGGATTAATCACTTTCTTTTTAATCATAGACTCTCTCTTAAAACTCGATTGTTCGTCACCTTGAGTTATAAATCAATGATTCGATATTTATTCTTTCCATTTATCGACTACTGTTTAAAGTTTTTTCACGGCAGCTAACGTTTCTAAAAGCAAATATTTTTCAATAAACAAATGGCTATATCGTAAGTGACATTGATTGTCTATTTATCAGGTCGCATCACTCCCTGAAGTCGTTTTTCATCGACAAATAGGCAACCAGAATATGTTACTAGATTTCAAATAATGTGGATGCTTTGTCGAACTGAAAAAAACCTACATGAGTAGGGAAATTACGCTGGATCACTAAATCTTAATCAAAGTGATTTATACACTTTTCTACACTTAGAAGGGAACATAATGGATGATTTTATTGGTTGTCCAACAGTGTCCAATTAGAAGACCAAAAACAACGCGTTTGGATATTCCGGCTTACTAAATGACCCCATAACATCATGATACCAACTACATGAACACAGGCAAATTCTTTAGGTAACATCCGGGTGATTCTTCCGAGAATGTACCACAATTACATCGACTTTATCCAAATTGTTCGAAAGTAACAGAACTAGTACAACTTGGACTCTTGATGATGAATATCACGTTTAAAAGATTCTAAAATAACGGCACGGTGGTCATCTAGACCTGTTGGAATCGCATTTTCCAGCAGAACGGACCTTTTGTGGGCATATTCACCATTTCTTAGTGAAACATTTTCATGAGCTAATACCGTCAGATTAGATTCTATATGTGCAAAGGTATCAAATCACTAACGGACAA